TTTTTTTTTTTTTTTTTTTTTTTTTTTTAAATTTGTTTTCACACAATTCATGAGTGATCCAATTTTCATCACTTTTCAAACCCTTATTTTGAATAATTTTTCTTTCTTTTTCCCAATCATTAGCCCCACAGCGAACTGTCTTAACAACCATTATAACCAAACCCAATCTTCCCTCCACCGACATCGTAAACTACCTGCAGAGTCTTCTGCTGCACGTTCCCAATAATGGCGACGGAGCTCGGATCCATATTTCCGGCGAATGCCAAACAGACCTGAGTCGTCGATGCTCCGTACAAGATTCCGGTGCCGTCCAGTTCGAGTACCGTTCCTCCTTTGAAAAGAAAATCCACTTTCGGGATCTCTACAGAGGTGTATTTGCTCAGATCGTAACACGTGTCCAGAATCGAAAGCTCCGGCGCTTTCGGATACTTCGTCATTCCTTTCTGAAACGCCGATTTCAAGGCGCTGTACGCATCTGGCGGCAGCCGCGTAATCACCGTGCCGGAATCGATGATCGCGCCGGAGGTCGAGAAGACCGACGCCGAGATCGGGATCTGAATTCCTCCGACCTTCATACCGACGATGTCGACGCCATAGAAATTCGCGACGCCGTGTGCTTTTGTGATCGGCGTGTATTTCAGAGCACCGCCGCCACCGCCACTGCCGCCGAAGGCTAGGTAGCCGGTGGAACTTGAGGTTTTAGGGAGGCAGTAGGAGAAGATCTGACCGTACTTTTGGGCGGTCTGTTTGACGATGGAGATTTTGTCCTGGCCAAGGCCGATGAGACCGGCGGCGCTGCCGAAGAGTCCACGGTTGTTTTGGCCGCAACCGAAGAGGAAATTGCTGATAACATCGGTGGGCGTCAAGGTTAAAGTTTCTTTGGCGAAATATCCGACGGAGAAAGATTGATCGCCGTATTGTATTCCGTAAATGCAGGATTTCGCGGCGGAGCAACCAGGTTGGTTCCCTGCATATTTACACAACATGAAATTCAACTTGAAATTTATTATAAATGAGTAATTAAAGTGAAATTACCTGTGCCCGATTCAAGCTGAGAGCAGATAGGCGAAGAACAAGTGATGTTGGAATAAGTGGTGGATTGGGAAGGGGCGAAAACAGGGTCCTTCTGGCTGTAGCAATATCTGGCACACGGCTCGCACTGAGTCCACGTCAGATCGCTGCCGGTGTCAAATATAAGCGATAAGTACTTCTTCGGCGTCCCCAGAGCAACATTCACTATGTAATTCCCGGACCCGATGGTGGCGCCGGACTTCGCCGGGATTTTCGTGGCCTTCGACGGCCGTAAACGATCGATGGATTTGAAGTCCCCTGAGAATTTCGAGTGGATGAAATCCACTCGAGCCTGATCTTGAACGAATAATTCCGCGGCCGTCGGTGCTTTCGATTCTCCGCCGCCGCATGGCCCGTGCCGGTGAATCACTTCCAGTGATGACTGCGTTCTCCGACCTGAATCTTGGGCTGGGCCCATAAATGACATTTTCTTGTTTCAAAAAATAAATAATGAAGAAAAAATGTAAAATATGGTTACGGTTTTGGGCTTCCAATGGGCTGTTCATTAATGGGCCTCTTGGAGGCCCACATTGAGTAGTTGATAGTTTCGCAGTTATAGCGGCGGCTTCAGCTGGCGCTTTAATTACATTTTACATCACAGCCGTATGGGGTTGCGGAATATTTGTACTCACTGACGGTGTACTTATTTGTCTTGTCCTACTTTTGACTCTCTACGTAAGAATTAATTTCCCCATTCTAATTAACTATAAATATAATAATTTTTATTTTATTAAAATAATGATTCTATCCCCATCATTCATTGACTTGTTTCAATACGATGACGTCTAACTCAAGCTCATCTAATACCAGTTTTCATTTCAATTTTTAATTATTTATTTCCATGATTTAAGAACATTAAAAATATTTAGCCAGATTTCTAGAAAGATTTTCTCCTTAATTAAAAAATATACATTCTTTTTTCGAATTACATTACAATTATTAGCAGGTTAGTAGAATTTTAAAAACATAAAAAAAAAAAAAAAAGCAATTCCCTTATGAAAAAGGAAACAAAATTCTATAATTAATTTTTTTTTTGTCGTATTTTTAATAACATGTTAATAATTCGATCGGTCACTTCTTTATCACAAATTTGGACCCTTTTCTTGATTTTTTTTAATTAAAAATAAATAAATAATTTCCCCTTTTACTTTTAAGCCACAAACCAACAACCCCACCCATACAATTTTCTTCAATTTCAACGGAGAAAAGGCTTAGAGGCAGACAGACAGACAGACCCAATTGGTCTTTTTTTTTTTTTTTTTTTTTGTGAAATTATTAAAATTTGGAATCTTTTAATTTTCCCGTATCTATAATTAAAAAGGTGAATAAGAAAAATCGGCGAACAACAAAACAAGACATTTAAGGTTGAAAGAAACAGCCCTCCCTATGTTTAGGACACGTAATGATATAGTTGACAGCGAAATTAATGTTAGTTCGTGCTTATATAAAATTTAATTTCACCGAAATAAAATTTTCTAATCCAATTAAGAAAAAATATATATCTTAATTTAATTAATAACGCCGGAAAATTCTAGCGGAAGGAAATTAGAGAAACAGAGAGAGACCTTGAACGGAGCGGCGGTTGCAGGCGGCGGACGGCAGAAGGTCAGCGAGTTCGACGGTGAGGCGGTGGGCGTCCGGCGAGACTTTCCCGGCGGAAGAGTAAAAGAAAAGGAAACAAAAAGCAAAGAAAAGCATTGAAGAAAGAGGCGCCATGGATGTAGATTGAGAGCTTCGAGAGCTCTCTGCTGAGAAATTGAGATTCTTTTATTTGTTGATATGGCGGAAGTGGAAGGACGCTTAAGCCCTTTTTATATCAAGACGATAAGCACCACTCCACAGTACAATTGTGGATTTTCAAATGGATTTACGTCACACGTTTATTGCTCAACTCTGTCCTCCCCTGTACCTTATCGTGGACTTCCGTTTAGAGATAACCAATAGACAACGAACACGTGGAATGAAGAGGGTATTATAGTCATTTCCATCATTCAAAGCGATGAAAAGGAGTGATTAGCCCATGCAACCACCAAAATTATGTGCCCTCCATCAACTTAATTACATTTTCATTAACTAATCTGACCTTTCTTTTGGGCACTCTTTAATTCATAAAAATTTGGCACCGCCTATATCATCTTTATTCTATTGTAAAATTATTTAAACATTTAATATTAAATTTTACATTTTTAGACCTACGATCAAAATTAATTTCTTTTATTTTAATATTATTATTTATTTATTTGTTAAAATTTTAATTTATATATAATTAAGAGAAAAGTATGGCTTATAAATAATAATAATAATAATTAATAAGTTAATGTTGGAAGGTGGTGATATTAATTTGGAATTATTGAGAGTTTAGAATTTATTGGATCTAAAATCAAAGGAGATATTATTTTGTTTGCTCAATTGAGGGACGATTCACGCTTTCCACAAAAAATTACGTCCTCCTTTTATCAAAACTTTTGTAAAAGATAAATTAAAAAAATATAATTAAATAATTTGGGTCTTAATTTGGGATTACACTTCTAATGTTGTGGCCAGCTAATTTGAACGGTTGAATAAAATTTGTGGGAGGTGGGACCCACCACTCCCACTTGACCAAATTAGACCAAAGAAAGTAGTCATACTCATTGATTACGGAAGCCGTAAATACAAACGCTGTTTTTTTTCTAAAAAAATAATAACAAATAAATTAGTATTTAATTTTAATGTTTGTTTAGTATTTAAAAACTTCTCATTATTTTATTTTTATTCCTTTTTTAATTAATCATGCGAGGTCCCGATTTAAACGTCTTACCTAGAAAATAGAAGTATGACATCTTTAGTGCTTTAAAAATTTTATATTAATCTTATTAATCTTTTTGACTCGGTATGATTGTGCATATGAAAAAAAACATCATATATTAGATCGATTTCTCGACTTGCTAGTTCATTTATTTGAGGTAATCTGTTAAAAAAATAGTCAAAATCTCAAGTGTCGTTTTACGATTAAGGTATTTGGTATTGCAATAAAAATATTATCACAATATTATATAAATAAAATATTTTTAACCCGATTTAATTTTAGACAATTAAATATTGTCGACTAAATTTTTTATTAAGTCGTATTATTCTAATTAAAATTAATTTTATTTTCATTCATATACTTTGTTAATAAATTTTAATAGTTATAACCCATGGATACAAAATCTATAATAAATATATTATAGAATTTATAATTTTAAAAAATAAATAAGTTAAAAGTTATAAAAATAACGAGCTTAAATAGTTGAATTAAAAAAAAAATAGCAATGAAAATAAATAAATCATTTAAAGAAAATCAAGAAAATTAAATCATTAAAGAAATTAAAAATAATCGGAGGTATATTAAGACAATGTTTATGCTTTAGATAGGGTTACTCGAAAGATGGAATAGAACAAATTTTCTATTCTTGAATTTGACCTTTTTATATTTATTATATCGATTCTATTTATTTGGCAAAAATTTAATTGATAGTAAATTTTCATTTAGTAGGTTGGGTGTTGAATTTTCTATTAAAAAAATTAATGTCTTTTGTGAAATAATTCATAATAAGACAAAAAATGACAAGTGCTTACATATTTTAGGAATAAACATAAAAATATGACTGAAGTAAAAAGAGGAAAAAGACCAATGATTATTACTTTTGTATAATTTATGATAAATAATTCTAAAACCTTTTAAAGTGTAATAAATATTTTATCTAATTACCTTAAATTATTTAGAATTAAAACTTTAATTATATGCAAATATAATGATTATCAATCCAAATGAAAAATCAAGATAGCCACTTGATTTAGATTACTAAAATTAAAGATTTTTAATGGAAATAAAATAATATTGATTTATTTATCTCGTTGCCTTCTAATATTAAAAAAAAAAAAAAAAATGCAAAACGAAATGTGAAATCGATCCTTTCCCAACTTAAAATGTGTAGTCCATTTCTAATAATTAAATTTATTTATTTATTTATTTTTCTCGCTCTCTACCTTTAATTCCATTAGTGTATATTTTTCATCAGATTTCCTTAAAAACTTTTCAGGAAAAAATATATAGTATCTACTCGATAGAGACAACGCTCCATTAGAATACCATGGACACTTGTCATACGTACATACGTACACGTCTATATATATATAATATACTATAATTGTTAACTAATTGATATGTTACCCACATAATTAAAAATTAAAAATTAAAAAAAGACTTTTGTCGATTTAAAATATTCCTTTTATAAACACATGGACACGTGTTAAAGAGAATTACAAATAATATCGAACAGTTTAGAAAATATTGAACAAAAATATTGTAAGAAATGGATATCGCATCATTTTCAAGGAGATTCAATTCTTTTATTGAATATTTTTAATTTGATTAAAACTTATTGAGGATTATTGAGAGTAAGTCCCACATTGGTTAATTTAGTGGAGATCGCGGGTTTATAAGTAAGGAATACTATATTTATTGGTACGAGGCATTTTAGGGAAGCCCAAAGCAAAGCCAGGAGATCCGTGATTCCTAACATGGGATTAGAGCCATGCCCTAAACTTAACTATGTCGAACAAAGAGTGTATTTTGTTCGAGGGCTCCTGAGAGCTTAAACTTAAGGTGGACAATATCATACCATTGCGGAGATCCGTGATTCATAACAAAACCTTGTATAGCTCAAACTATTTTATATGATATTCAGTGGAAAAAGTATTAGAAAGTGGAAATCCAATTATATTTCCATGTTAAGTGAATAAGGTTCATAAATGTTGTGAGAAACAAAACAATGTCCCAATCAAGAGTGCGTAGAAGAGAAGCTGAAAAGGACCCAAAATGCAGATGCTTATTCCCGATAAGTATCAACTCAGTGGTTCTATGGGCCCTCCCCATCTCCCCCAACAAAAAATAATAATAAATAAATAAATAACTGAATCTATTTTCAGTAATTCTTCATAATTTTTTAAAATATTTTTTAATTAATTCCACTGTAGACGGATCATTTCTCTTCAAAACCCGACCAATTTATTAATAAATTTCAATTTTTAATTTTAACCCAAAAAATGACCTAATTGAGAATTTTAAATTAAAAAAAAAAAAAAAAAAGATTAATGGGTTTTGGTGGGTCAATTCTGCACTTTGAAGTGGCCAGTGAAAGGAAACACACAAACGTGAGAGGTTGGCTTAATTCCACCCATTCATTTCTCCACAATTAATGGGTTTCGTTTTCTTTAATCAAGAAATATAATTAATTATTTATTTATTTATTGGAAATTGTTCCTTTCCTTTTCGTGTCTCTGATGTGAACGAAAATCCTCATGACTTTTTTGAAAAACCCAACTAATTGCGTATAGTTGTTTCCACATCAAACTCGATTCGACATATGAACGCACCATGCCTTTTATTTTCCTCTTCAAATTCTACACTACCGATAATTATACAAATTAAAAATATAATATCTTATTATACAAAAACCAATTTTATTTAGAAATATTTATTTTAAAAAATATATTAATTAATCATGCATTAATAAAACGTAGTATTTTCCTCCTAATTTTATCATAATTTGTGGGACAATGGCAGTGACACGACCAATTATTGGACCAGGAAAGTACGACAAAATAGAAAAATAAATTAAAAATAAGAAAAAAAAAAAAAAAAACCCTCAAATTTTATTCTTCCAAGCGGTTAAGACTCTTTGAGGACCAACGAGTCATTGTCATGGCAGCTTACAGCTTTATTTTTTTTTTAGCTATTTTCTTTATTGTTTGTGAAAGCTAACCACTCTTATTCCTTTTCTTTTTAGCCTTTTAGTTTAATTTCCACACTCTTTTTATTTTTTCTTCCCCATTGCTTGGAAGTTTCTCACACGACATTGTACCCATAGAAAACTCACTATTTTAATTTATTTTAAATGGAAAATAATAATAATAAAATTACACTTATATCCTCAAAATTGTATACATTAAGAATAAGAAGGAATAAATTTTTTTACAAAAAAAGAAAAAAAGAAAAAAAGAAAAAAAAGAAAAAGAAAATACTTTGATTTAAAAAATATTGTTGAGATTTATTTGGAAAAATACATTTAAAAAATATTTATTTACTATGACCATTCATAAAAATAGAGACTGTCCTTTCTTTCATTGTTGCTTCAGCTGAGAATTTTGTTGGGCAAACGTGTGGAGTTCAAAATTTATTTTTCATTTAAAACACTTGAAGAAACACGTCAGCAACTTGAAAATCAAGTTTTTTTTTTTTTTTTTTTTTTTTTTTTTTTTTAACAAATCTAATTATATATATATAACAGATATATTTAATTTAAAATTTGTGGAAATGGTAAATCTAACATTTTTTTTATAGGAGGCTCGTTATTGTGCTGACTGGGCCTAAATTGCAAGCCCAAGTGTAGGCCCATTTAATGCAAGCCCAAATTATAATGAATGGGAAGAAGAAAAATTAAACATTTTCAAGGAACCAAATATTTATACATTTTTTTTTTCCCACCAAATTTCAAACATTATTAGAAGAACAAGACAATCTAATTTCCCCTTCGTCCCCACTTTTAACTCCAATACTACTGAGTTTCAAGAACGACTGAGCCCAGCTTTCAAAGAACCCAATCTGATCCTCTGCAAGGCTCTCCACCCGGGCCCTGGTCCGGCCGTCGCTAATCAGAACAGAATCCGACTGAAACAGCCCTTTGTGCGACAGAATGTTTTTGTAGTACTGATTGTCGAAGACAGCCGCCGTCGCCGGATCGTTTTCGACGGTGACGGCGGAGGCGGCACCGG